ACAAACTCCTGGTTGAGGGGACAATTTGCATATTAGGCTTTTATTAGATAGGATTACATGCAATAAACATTCATATTTCAGGAATATCCAAAGATTCTTGAGTTTGCAGGAAATATTTGGTAAAGGGATCACTGGATTCATTCATTTTCTTCTTCAAGAAGCTATGGTCTTCCTAGAATTAGTCCCTGGAAATGCCAGTGGGAGAGAGCATCGGGCACAGAGGGGGTCAGCTGGTCCTTGAAGCGGCCTCTAACTGGAGACCGTTTAGTGGCTTCTTCAAGCAGCTGTTACTGCTGGGGAGCACTGTGAAGAAGGAGCCAGGACTGGTGACACCGCCACAGAAGCACCAGCTGACTCGGAAACTCCACTCTGAGGAGGAGAGCAGTGCATTGCTCAGAGTTAAAATGAGTCCAAGACTGATGGTCTTTCCCTCTCGAGTCACACAGAGACACATGACTTCTGTTCACCCCAGAGACCTTTCCCCAGGAAAGAAGTGGACTGTGTCCCCAAGAGCTCACGTCTGAGCAGCTCTGGCCCTGGAGGCCCTCTCGGGGGGAAGGTGATCCTATCGGACCCGGGCTCATTCCAGACTCCCCCTGACAACCCACAGGACTTTTCAGGATCTGCCTTCAGAGCCGAGCTCAGAGGTAAAGGACTGCATATGCTCAGAGCCAGCCAGGCCCTCCCTCACAGGTCCTCCTTCTGACCCTTCATTCTGCACACGAGGAAGGCTCGGAGAGGGGCAGTGACGTGTCCAAAGCCCTCAGTGGACTGGAAGCTGGTTTGGGATTTGAGCTTAGGTGTCTGCTATTCATAGGCAGCTCAGTATTTGGAAGGGATCCAGGCAGCTGAGAGCACAGAGGGCGAGGGGCGGTGCTGCTGCGGAACTAGGGATGAGAGGACCCTAGTGCATCCTGGTGGCAGGCAGCTGCAGGGTCACGGAAGCTATGCTGATGAGCTCGGGAACCATGTTCTCCTCTGAGCTTGGGCTCCTCCTCTGTAGACTGGGACAAGAAATGCTGCCTGATTGGCCACAGGCCTGTGGGAGGAGCAACTGCTAGTCAGAGTGGCTCACATCTGAGTGGAGCTCCCCCCCCCGCGCCCCCCCACCCCCCGGCTCGTTCCCAGTCATGTAATGCCCACAGGAAACCATGACGTGGATGGGATAGAGACACATGGCCCATTCTGGATAGAAAACCGAGTCCAGGCAGGAAAGTGATCCTGTAGCCCAGTGGTTCTCAACCTTCCTCATGCCGCGACCCTTTAATACAGTTCCTCATGTTGTGGTGACCCCCAACCATAAAATTATTTTCATTGCTACTCCATAACTGTAATTTTGCTGCTGTTATGAATCGTAATGTAAATATCTGATATGCAGGATGTATTTTCATTGTTTGCAACTCACAGGTTGAGAACCTCTGCTGTAGCAGGTCTCCTGGCTGGTCAGGGGGTAGTGCCAGAATCTACACCCCGTTTTCCTGGCCTGCAGGGCAAGGAGGCCTCCCGGGTTGCACTGGGACCCTTTGCAAAAGGCTTCCCCACCGAAAAGGGCTCTTCAAAGAGCAGAAAGCAGTCAGACTCAGTGGACAAAACACTGGTTTTGGAGTCAAAGCAATTGGCTCACACTCTGAAGTGTGCAGGTAGCTTTGGGGCCTGGGGCTGGTTAAGTGCTCGGTCCCTGATAATTACCAAGAGCCGCCCCGCATCCTCCTGTCAAGGGAACCCCAAATGGAATCACCCCACAGGGTTCTTACCTGTTGGCTCCAGGGCGGCCATTTCTCAGTTTAGCGACAAAGTGCTCACAGTGGGGAAATAAAAATTGTCATTCCAGGTTTCACCAATTTTCTTCTTCGCCAAATTGACAATGTCATGCACAGGCCGGGGTCTGTACTTGTTATCCAAGAAGTTGTTGACCTTGTACGTGTTATCCCCTGCCACTTCTTCCAGAGGTTCACATTTCACCATGTCTTGTAATACTACATAGCCATGTTCAAGGTCGAACCCATTGTGGCCCTCGAGTCAAAAAGTTTGCCCACCCCTGACTAAGATGCTGCCACGCTCAGCAGTGCCATGTTGGACACGGAGGGGAAGAAGAAAGGACGTCCCACTATTGACCTCTGAGGTCACTGTCCCTTCCTTCTACTATCATTCCCTCTTGCTGGAAGTTAAATTTAGCAGGAGTGCAATTGTTTGAGCCACACTTTTGTAACTTAAATACTTAAGGCTCTGTTGCCAACATGTTCCCAGAGCAACAAATGGCAACTCCATCATAACTCAGAATGGGTGCCATGGGATTCCCTGATGTCAGACTTTGATGCATTTAACAAATCTCCAATTGTTGGGTATTTCAGTTGTTTGAACTTGTCTTCGACGATACACAATGACATCATAACAATACTTGCAGATGACGCATCTTTGGGCATGGGTCTGACTCAGACACATTTTTGACTTTTTTAGAATCTACCTGGAAGAAGCCAGTCTCAGCTGATTCTCTTACAACCCGCCCAGGTGATAACTTATCTCCATTTCACAGAACCAATTTTGAGCCACAGAACTTAAGAGACAAAAGTTGTGGAGCAAGGATTTGGAAGAACTCCAAAGGCCTAGCGATTTCTACTATTGTGTAGAAACTGTGGGCTCCATGGCAAGAGGGAACTTCTCATCATTTTCTTACGTCCTATCACCTGGCTTAGTTCTGGACACTTAGGAGAGAGTCACAACAGAATTGTCAACCGATGGAGTCCACATTCCATTCCTTAGCGAGTAAAGATCTGACATGTCATAGTTGAAAAGGAAAAGGATGCTATTACCACAGTGATGAGTTCTCTTTTGTTCCCTTTTCTCAACATAAAGCTGGTGATTAAACAAGTAATCCATCTTTACCTGATTTCACATGAATCACAAAACCGTCTCCCACATAGATAGCCCAGTGCTTGTAAACATCTCCAATTTGAATCAGGTCTCCAGGTATTGGGTCCTCGCTTGACTACAACAGAAAAGCAGAGAGAGTGTAGACAGATGGTAGGAAGCAGTAGAGACGGGGCTGGAGAGCTGCAGGCTGCTCCCTGCCACACAACACCTCGTAGCAGCCCCGGGAGAGGAGCCTCCGGGACTGCTGGGGTCACCAGCTTTGCTGTCACCAGAGAAGCCCCATTGGGGCAGGAGGGACAGGAAGCCTGGACACAGTCGGGCGGAAGCCTTTCCTCTCGGGCCGAGCACTTTGTCCCGCCCCATTGCTCCCGCCCCGTTGCCGGGCATTAGTGTGGCTCTCATGTTCTGCTCTGACACTTCCACATCCTCAGTCTGACTGCAGCTGAGAGACACCGCCCCCACG